AAGCAAACGTGGAAGTTCAGTAACAATAATAGTGCGCATGTGCAAACGAGTCAAAGGTTAAAAAATACCCGTATGTACTCATTTAATACGCATTTTCATTGGCTAATAATCCCACATGGTCTAATAGACCAATGGAAAAGTTTGTTTTTACTATCAAAGACTGGTAATATCGCGGGAATTCCCATACATCGTTATTTTCAAAGGTAAAACGTCACGGTTAATTTATAGTATTTTGCACACGCTAAAAATAGACACCAAAATGGCTCTGATCGGTTGATTTGTATAGAAGTTGCAAGGGGATAAAATAAGGCAATATTTCAAAGACAAAAGATAAATTACGGATAATAATATTTTTCGGGAGAAATAAAGACTTAAAACAAGTTTAGTAAACTTTATCCAAACAAGATTTCATGTAAACAATTTTTTTTTTTTTTTCATTTTTAATAAAAAACGGTCAGACCAAGTGCGAACGATCCCCTTAAGTTGAAAAAGGGTTAAAAATCGGGAAAAAAAGACTTTCTTCCAACGCGGGCAATGGAGCTGTGACACCTATATTACTCGACCAATGTCAAACATATGTGACTCGCCGCATCAATATGAGTCGGAATGCAGGAAAATTAATTTTGCACAAGAGACAAAATAAGCGAAAATATTGATTTTGATCGAAATTGAGATTTTAACAAAAATGAGTCAATAAATATACTATCTATCGACTCAAAAGATCAAAATAGCAATAAAATATTTTAAAACGCCTTTATTTGGACGTTTTGTAAGAGTACCGTATTCTTAAATCTGTATTTTTCTGAATATTCTCAGTAGAATTAGATATTTTTCTCTGCTCACAGCGGGGCGACCTGTCAATCCTCTTGCAAAATGCATGGCATCGTTGTAAAGCGGAGAATCTTTAGTTTATAAATATGACCAAAATATTGCTGATGAATTCATTTTGAAGGAATACAAAAGGGTTTTAAAACCCCTCAAAATGTAAACACACTCCGCTTGTTGCTATGCTTCCTACACAAGTCGTTTGCTGATTGGCCCAGACAACGCGTGCAAAGCATTGAGGTTCCGTGGCTGCATCGAGGCTCAAGCAGACGATAGAAATTAGATTTGGGCAATGTTATGGGGTGTCTACATGCGATTCACTCTGAGAAGTGGCAGAAAACAACTGTTGTTGTTGTTTATTAAAGATTTAACGTCCAATACAATGAATATGATATTATGGACAGGTTGATTTCATTAAATTATTTACAGTTGAAAATTGTTAAAAACACCAAAAAAAAGATCCTCGGATACCAACAACTTAATTCTGAATCTGGTCGTATATAGATACCCGTTGAGTTTTAATCAAAACATTGTAAATCAATCAACAAGCCGTTCGTGTCATTGAGTAATACTAATCCGTAATCACTTCTCATGGATTAATGATTAGTTGATTGATAATTAACAATGATAAGGCCGCCGACAATTCATTATTTACTCCGAATAACTAATCAAAGCGGCGATGATATAATGTTTCGTTTGGTCTGTTAGAAAATAATTTATAGTCCTTAAAAGGAAATAAACAAAATAGCCAATAATTTTCTTTCCGAATAGAATTTTATTGATAGGTGAATTCCGTTTACTGTCTTTCATACGGCATGCAAAGTTAAGAATGTATATTGGATATTATTATTGTTTAAAATTCTATTATCACCATGGGTCGGGAAAATGAGAACGACCAATGAGTCGAAACGCGACGATTATCGAGTGGGAAAAATAATCTGCCATTGTTTTAATTACACCGCTTCCAAAACGAACGTAAGCATTTCATGCCAATGAAATTGAAATTTCTATTCTATTATGAACTCATATTTTGATACCGTTACGGTACCTGAGGCTTAAAATAACAATAGACTTATTGTACACGCAAAATCTTAATTCAGGCATGCAGCTGTGGCGGCTTCTTTGATGATTAAGATAGGCTACTAAACTTGATTACCCAATCAACAACCTTAATCTTCTGACCACTGGCACCAAGGTGCTAAATAATTGATGAGATTAACCGATTAAGTTATAATATACAAACTTAGACTACTAATAATGTATACACTGTTCTAAATTATAACGCTATCATAGGAAATGTGAATATGCCGCATTTGTTGTGGATGTTTTGCTATGAAAAGAGCGCATTTACAACGGTTATCGTCTTCGGCACCCTTGAAAACCTAAAGAAGAAAATATTAATATTAAACAACAAAATAACGAAAGATTTAATGGCATGGTTGCTGTGTGATATTGTTTTAGAACATACCGACGCCTTTAACTAGCCTTTTCTAAAAACTGCAGATGTCAGTGCATTCAATTCATTTGCAACTGAGAGCTCGCCCTTTTCCATTCTTGAACGTTAAACAGTCGCGCCCATGCCCGATGAATTAATAAATTTTAATTCTCGTAATGCAATTATATCCACTGTAAATAGCGTTTGTTTACAGCTATCTATACACTGGCATCGTAACCGTGCCATACGAAAACTCCATAGTATATACAATGAAACTAGTTTCAATTAAGGTGTATAGTCAAACAATGTTAATACCGTATCTTTGATCGTAAGGCCTAGTACCATCTCTTTTAATTAGAACTCGGCAGTCAAAACAGTAGATCAATCAGCATCCAATTAATTAAGCTGTAAACAATAGTCAAACCATATTAATACGGGATCTTTGATCATTAGTACTTTCTCTTTTAATTATTATTATAATCTTTTATTAAATTTATGAGAGTTTTTAGCATACTGTTGTCTTTTGAAAAATGTTCTCTTTTCTTATACTTGACAGCATAAGGTGTTGAATACCGTCGTTTCATTGGTATACCCTACCCTGCAAGGTGTGACCATAACTGATGGGTGACCATAAAATCATCGAATATGTAAAATGATAAATATTCGTTGCATCGACCCAAAACCCTGTTTTTTGGATTCGGCGCCCCCGAAAACCTCTAAAATGAAATATTACACAAGTACCAAGTATAAGAACTCCAATAATTGCCATTTTGGTGGCCATTTTGAAAAAACAAGATGGAGGATACAGTCCAGTCGATCCCTGATGCTACAACCTTTGTGCCTAATAAAATATATAAAATGACATTGCACCAGCCGATTACAAATATACGGTGATAAAAAACAACAGAATTGTCATTTTGGTCGCAATTTTGTTAAAACAAAATGGTTGATATTGTCGGATTAATTTTACTACTACGATTATCATTTCGGTCGCCATTATGAAAAACAAAATGGCGGGTATTATCGGATTTACTCTTATACTGCAACTTTTTGATGTAGCACCCCCCAAAACCCCTTCAACTTCTGAATCGTGATCACTTTCCATAGCAAAGAAATTATTAGATGAACGAGCGTGAAAATATTAAACTTGCGTACAAAATGGCACCCTATGACACAAATCTTCTCGAGAGTTCACGACCTTATAACCCTGAAACCATTGATGTGACGTCTATGTTTTATGATTTCAATCATTAGTTCAAACTATAAGCTTATTGGATAACTACTTTTGGAAAGCCAATCGTCTTTTTTTATAACTTTATTGATCAATAAAACAATACATCAAAAAGGCCGGCAGCAGCCGTTGATGGGCAAATTGTCTCGCGAGTTTACAACCTTTATAACACCTAAACCTTTGATGTGACCTACAAATTTTATGATTACAGTAATTAGTTCAAACTATATATTTATTGGATAACTACTTTTAGGAAGCCAATTGGCCTTTTTTGTAAACTTTCTTGATCAATAAAACTTTACATCAAAGAGGCCGACAACAGTCGTCATTAGGATAAGTGACTAGACATAAGGTAGTCGACAGGTGGCGTAAGTCGGTGAAATTCAGTAGCTAATTAGGTCGACGCCTGGTGTAAGTTGGACTGAATGAGTTAAGAGTAACAATTCATTAAGTAATTATCAAAAAACCATTAGAATTTGTTTGGTTTTTATAAAGTTCTGCCCCATACTAACATTTAGTATACAAAACTTTTAACATCATGGATTTAGCTGTTCAAGTCATAAAATTTCATTGAAAATCAATAGGATTCTTCGCTCCTGACCTTAAACACTGTGTATAAATTTAAAGTCAATCGGATATTAACTTTAGCATCTAGAGCGTCCACAAGATTTTTCAAAGTCATCAAGGGCCATAACTCTGGTAAAAATTGTCGGAAATCACTGAAAATCAATAGGATTCTTCGTTTCATGACCTCAAACACTGTGTATCAATTTAAAGTCAATGGGATATTAACTTTAACCTCTAGAGCGTCCACAAGATTTTTCAAAGTCATCAAAAATTATCGGAAATCATTGAAAATCAATAGGATTTTTCGTCTCATGACCTTAAACACTGTGTATAAATTTAAAGTCAATCGGATATTAACTTAAGCCTCTAGAGCGTCCACAAGATTTTTTCAAAGTGATCAAGGGCCATAACTCTGGCAGTAATTATCGGAAATTGCTGAAAATCAATAGGGTTCTTCGTCTCATGACCTTAAACACTGTGTATTAATTTAAAGTCAATCGGATATTAACTTTAGCCTCTAGAGCGTCCACAAGATTTTTCAAAGTGATCAAGGGCTATAACTCTGGCAGTAATTATCAGAAATCGCTGAAAATCAATAGGCTTCTTCGTCTCATGACCTTAAACACTGTGTATAAATTTAAAGTCAATCGCATATTAACTTTAGCGGACGGGGGCGACAACAATATACGACCACATTTCAATGTGCCTAATCACTTCAATATTATTCTTTAAAATAACTTGACATATCTGTTTTGGATCAAAAAATAATTGCTTTTTCAAGGGATTTCAAATGTTGATTTGTGCTGTGGGCTGGCAATCTGTCTACACTGAAAATACTACGTCTATAGATAAAGCCAGCGTTGAAACAGAACCACAATTTGGACTGTGTGGAACATGCGAGTCAATTGTAGCAAATTTTATATTAGAATGTTGCAATCTTACCATTTCCATAATTAAATGACCACAAACAACACATTTATCAGCTGTTTGTTGAAAACCAGAATACTGAAAATAACAAGTAATAGAATAACACTCAATATGAAATAAACATATTAAAATATTTTAAAACAAGTAGGTCAAACCAAAAAAAAAAAAATATTCCCTGCATGTCAAAATTCTTACCAATTATTTACATAACACTTTCTTCATGTTTTTGTGCAGACATGTTGTATTAATTTTGTTCTGGGAATGTGTATTTATTGTACATTCACCATCTCTATTTAATCATCTGTTCTTTCCTTGTTTTGTTGTGCTGTTATCCTGCATAGTGTATTCAAAGAAAGGAAAAAAATACATTTGTTCCAATGAAGTCTTCTTTATCTTATGTATTTTATTTTATAAATCTTACCAAATAATCTTCTTCACAATACACTCTACCATGTACATTATAAAAAGCTTTACCTCTTAACGTCCTTCCTACAATAAAAAAACAATACACAATACATATTCTTCCAAAAAAGCAGGGGATATTGAAATGCAAATACCTATGCAGGTTGTGATATGATAAATAGTTATGGACACTTGACACTGTAACCCAGGTATCGTTTAATCTTGTGTATCTAGCATTAATTTCTTTCACATTCGTTTAATAACAAATCTTTGTTTAAAAATTCGTAAAATCGCTTAAAATCACCAAAAATCATCTAATTTGTACATGTGTCCAGTTTAAAGCTGACTGATTAAATTTGATAATGAGTGTCCAATTTACAAAAATTAATCATTATACTTGTACATCATTAATCAATTGGGTTGTTTATTTTTTAACAATGATTGAGAAATTAAACACTTGTAAATTGGACACTCATTATCAAAATTGAATGGTCAGCTTTAAACTGGACAGAAATACAAATTAAACGATTTATGGTGATTTTAAACAGTTTTTACAAATTTTTAAATAAAGATTGGATATTAAACGAATGTGAAAGAAATTAGTGCTATTTACACAAGATTAAAAGATACCTGGGTTACAGTGTGACATGCTTTGAGAGTTTGTTCACAGATGAAGAACTTATTACCCAAACAGAACCACTGAGCTGCACCTGCGACACGCAATTGCGCCATACACGTGGGAGGGATTCATTGTCAAATTTGACGCTTCAAGGAAGGGTTAAACTGCCACGTGCTGGTTTATCCTATCCATGTTTGCTTTCCTATCTGCGCTTGCACAAGATTTACTGTTTAGCGTATCTTTGCTATAGTGTGTTACGTTTAATTTGCAATGAGACATCTTCAACATCATGAACGTCTACATGTACGTGCTATTGGCATGCTTCAAATGGGTTCTACACAGCGAGCAGTAGTAAACATGCTTAATGTGTCACAGTCTGTGATCAACAGACTGGAACCAGTACCAACAAACACACCATGTTGATGATAGCCCTCGTTCAGGTCGTCCTAGAGCCACTACACAAGCCCAGGATCTATACATTCATACACAGGCCCTGCAAAATCGAGGACAAGTGGCCAATCAGCTTTTGTAAACTTGTACCAAGTTACAGGAATTCGAGTTACACCCAGAATGATTAAAAAGCGGCTACATGCAGCCCATTTGCATGCACGACAACCGCGTGTTGTGCCTCCATTAACTCGCCAGCACATGGCCAACAGGCGTCAATGGTGTAGGCAGCGTAGAAAGAGGGGTAATCGTCGATGGGCGCATATAATGTTCTCAGATGAGTCCAGATTTACTCTGGATTTCACCGATAGAGGTGCTCGGGTTTGGAGGCATGTAAATGAGCGTCATGCTAACGTTAACATCAGACAGCATGACAGATTCGGGCGTGGGTCTGTTATGGTGTGGGGAGGAATCACAATGACTGGCAGAACGGACTTGCATATTGTTCAAGGAAGGGTCACTGTTGTGTACTACCGTGACCACATCCTGGCACCAATAGTTCTGCCCTTTGCACAACGTGCAGGTCAACATTTCATCTTTCAAGGTGATAATGCCTGTGCCCACGGCGCTCGTGTCGTGAATAAATACCTCCAGCGTCACCATATTGTCCATATGCCTTGGCCAGCCAAGAGTCCTGACCTTTCCCCTATAGAGCATGTCTGGGACATGATCGGGAGACGTGTTCGCCGACATCAACGTCAACCGACAACACTGCAAGAATTAGCTTTTTGTTCTGCTAATATCATAGATTTAGTTGTTTAAGTTATCAAAATTCATTGAAAATCAATATACTTGTTCGTCTCGCAACTTCAAACTCTGTTTATCAATCTAAAGTCAATCCAATAATAAGATTTTTCAAAGTGATCTAACACTGGTAGTAATTATCGGAAATCATTTAAAATCACTTGGCTTCTTCGTCTCGCAACTTTAAATACTGTGTTTAAATCTAAAGTCAATCGGATATTAACTTTAGCCTCTAAAATCATTTAAAATCACTTGTCTTCTTCGTCTCGCAACTTTAAATACTGTGTTTAAATCTAAAGTCAATCGGATATTAACTTTAGCCTCTAAAATATTACAACTCCTTCAATATAAACATTTCGTTAAAATCTGAACAATGCATTTGAAATTGGATGTTCGGCAACAGAATTGAATACCTGGCGTAATTCGACACTTTGAATAATTTTAATCACAACTCGGGAAATTAAACGGTCCAACTAATTATTGAACAGTCGTGAAAATTAAGCGCGACGCTTATAATTACACACGTGTCGACAAACTAAACAGTAGTTAATTAACGCTTGGTAATCAAAATTGCACGTTAAGATGTAAGTTGTATACAAGGACAAATTGAATGCTATTAGGCCAAATTCAATGATATTTATGAATAATTCTACATAGATTAGATAATAATGCTTTTTACCCGAGATTCCACGGTATCAGTCGTATAGTGACAGTTTCTGTAGATTTTTAATAAAATAAAGATTTTGAAAAATTGATGAAGTTTGTATGACATTAACAATCGATATGAACTACTTGTAAATCAGTTATCATGAAAAATCAACATGGAAAGGTTTACTGTGATTCTGAGTACTGCAGTTTCACGTGTAAAGGGACACCAAATGTTGATGACTTGCCTACTAATAATTAAACCAAACCATATTATGTAGTATTTCTCCTTTAAAACTTGAAAAATAAATATACTTTCAAAAATATAAAAAAATATAAAACTTTGAACAATCAAAATAAGTAGCAGTAATTGAGAATTGGTTGTGTCCCTTTAAATAGCTTACATTGTGAATCCTTTTGGCCAAAACAATGAACCAAAAGACATGAAAAGAGCAAGGTAACATTTCAAGATTGTTGGCTTGTTTACTGGAAAGCAAAGAAAATAATGTAGTATTGGTCACATACGCGTTTACTAATACAATAGGGACACGAAAGTTTTGGTTTCCCATTTTTATAATAATATTCTGACACTGCGACCATTCTGTCACGTGATCCCCGAATATCAAGGAAGCGATAATTTTCATTTATGGAAGAATACTGTTATTTTGGACTCAGCAATTATAACGTTCGGCATCTACATGTATGCGTCATATGCAGGGGGTAAATTCACATCACAACGTATTTTCGATAACAACGTAAATACAGGGATGCTAAACTTTGATTCGAACTCATTCAGAAAACATCCATTCGCCGGGCCAGCGGCTGCTTTGGGTATGTCTATCATGCTGGGGTTGAAATGTTTGTAAAATTTTACAAGTAGGAATATTTTTTACTTGTCACTTGGTCATTTCAAGTTATCACCATTGATTTTTGTTTTTATTTAAAAAAAAAAAACAAGCCAACAGCGAGGCTAATGTCCCCGCCGAAATCCCAAAATAAATAGATGACACATATCAATTAATCGCACATTTATTTTTTTTTTCAAAAGTATCAAGCAATCAAACTGATTATCAACTATACACTAAGTTTCATCACTCTCTATCGGATAGAATCAAAGTTATCTTGTTCCAAAGCATCAACCAATGAAATTGCTTACCTCTGTTTACCTTTAGCTTGAAATGTTAATCATTGAACTCAATCAAGACATTCACCTACTGAACATCTACATAGTATAGATGTTTAAACATTCTACCTCAATTAAAAGCAAGGTTGTTATGTTCCAAAGTCTTGACCAATCAAATTGCTTATCTCTCCTTAGCCCAAGCAGAAAATTCTCATCATCAAACTTAGTCAAGGTAATGATATAATGAATCTATACTCGGAGCTTCATCACTCTCACTTAATTAAAACCAAAGTTATTGGCTTCAAAGCATCAACCAATCAGATTGCTTATCTCTGCTTACTGCAGCAGACGATGTTTATCATCGAACTCCATCAAGGTATTCATTTAATGAACACCAACACCAAGTTTCAACATTCTACCTCAACCAGAAGGAGAGTTATTGTATTTCAATGTCTCAACCAATCAAATTGCTTATCGCTCTGCTTACCCTAAGTAGAAAATGCTTATTATGGAACTTGGTCAAACTATTGATGTGATAAAACCATACACCAAGTGTCATCACTCTCACTTAGTTTGAACTAAAGTTATCGTGTCCCAAAGCATCAACCAATCAAATTGCTTATCTCTGCTTACCCTAAGCAGAAAATGCCCATCTACGAACTCCATCAAGGCATTAACCTAATGAACACCTACACCAAGTTTGAACGTTCTACCTCAATTAGAAGGAGAGTTATTGTGTTCCAAAGTCTCAGACAATCAAATTGCTTATCACTCTGCTTACCCTGAGCAGAAAATGCTCATTATCGAACTTAGTCAAGGTATTGATGTAATGAAACTATACACCAAGTTTCATCACTCTCACTTAATTAGAACTAAAGTTATCATGTCCCAAAGCATCAACCAATCAAATTACTTATCTCTGCTTACCATAAGCAGAAAATGCTCATCTTCGAACTCCATCAAGGCATTGACCTAATAAACACCTACACCAAGTTTGAATATTCTAGCTCAATTAGAAAGAGAGTTATTGTGTCCCAAAAAGTGTGACAGACATTCAGACAGACGGATGGACAGACAGACAGACGGACGAACCCATTTTAATAGTCCCCTGCTTTCTTCGAAAGGTGGGGGACAAAAAAATAACTTATTGTATTTCAATTTCATTTGTAAGAGATGCTTACATATACAATCAGACTCAGCGTTCACTATAACACATTTTGTTATTGGAATGGCTAAATTAGACAGACATTTTTAGCCAGAATTTTTATAGACATTATTCTAGTTGTCGCCAGCGACAAGTAGATTTTATTAGGGTTTCACACTGCGTAGCTTGTGTGAAACACTATTGTTTTTGTTAAGATTATTATTCTTTTTCTTATTATTATTATTACAAATTATTTTTGTTTAGATCTCAGCAACTGCTTGTCGGATCGTTACGATTTCTTCGGTTTTACTGGAAAAGTGGGTGTGACTTAGAGGATAAAGCTATTTTGAACGTTCTCCGACAAT